GGAAACCAGTACAAAAATTCAGAGTGTCAAAGGAATAATATATATCTCTAGGCTGACAAGTACAAACTAGCTATCTACCACAAAGTTATGCTTTTAACTGTTATGTTAAATTTGCTATCTCACACTGTACAGCCAAAGCCCACACAATAATTCGGTGTATATGAGCTACCCATATGACCTAGAATCACTGACGACTGTTTAGAAAGCACTTGAGGGGGGAAAGTATCAAAGGGTTTTTTTTAATCCCATAAATAGACTTTATTAAATTATCCTCCTACCCCAGAAAAGACTGCTTATGTGTTTTAGTATCTTAGATGTCAGTGATCTGTGATTCTATCCTTTATTAATCCCATCAAAAGGCTGAACAAGCTTCACTCAATGAAGTATTTTTATAATGACAGACTTCATCTGGTAGTAAAAATACATAATAATTTCTTCCCATAAGCAGCACACTGGGCTGACAATAATCCGTTCTGTTGTCGTTTCTTTTTACTATCATTGTTGGCATTATTTTCCCCCAAGCTTTGCACAGAGGAATAGAGAAACCAAGGTACTAATTGACAAAGAAGTCAAGCAATCAAAAAAGCCCATTAATCATACAGATGAACCCGACACTTCATAATGCAATGGAAGATATGCCACCCACTATAAGTAAAAGGCTTTTAAAAATTGCTCATTTGGTGTAAGTAAGCACGACCTTAGAATTTAATTAGTAACTCTCTCCACAGGTGACGAACTAGTAAAGTATGTTTCTTCTTAATGACAATTTATTTTTCACCATTCTCTTTACACTGCTTTCTTTTGCTCAGCTTGTACAATTCCCTCTCCTTAATTGTATGGGATTGACTGCAGTGTGTACGCAAATAGCTACTGAAATCCAGAGGAGCCTATAAACTGAAAGCAATACAGATCCCACTACCCTGTTGATCCGAACATTGTGACTCTACCTAACTAAGCCCTCTGATCTCCCTCAGCGACTCAAGTCACCAAGGCTTTTATAACTCTCTTCACACTGTGCCAAACCCCACCATTCTTATGAACGCCAAGAGCAAAGTGGATTGAGTAGAGCAAATCAATTCAAGTTCATAATTGGGAAATTAGACACGAAGACACACTAATCATCAAAGAACTCACATCTCCAAGATGCCTTGGGGAGAAGGGGGTCCTTCATCCTGGAAGATCCCTGGGAGAATCTGGACTCTGCTCTCTCAAACTACGGTCTGGTCTTGCTTCTCACTTCCCTCCCATAGGGCTAATAGACTACTGGAAAATACACATGCCCTGAAGAACATGAAGGCAATCCAGACTCTAATGAAATGACCATCGAAGCATTTTATCAAAAGTATAAAGTTTGTTTCTATCTAGAGGTGGAATGATAGGACTATCTGATAACAACACTATGAACATATGAATGAATGGCTCAAAAACATTTGTAAACTGCTTCAGTAACTATGGCTTTCTTACTTCAAAGTAGAAGAAGCACAACTAGATGTTAAAATAACTCTTAGAGGTATCATGCTGTAGCTGCTAGATAATAAGACTTTATTTATTCCCTTTTTGGCCAAATGTCCCCAGGAAGTACCATCCTGGGGAAAAGATTCTGCATGTTCAATGCTTAACAATCTTGTAGATTATGAGGTAGCATTAATCCCATTTTAACATTGGGACCTAAAAAGTTGTATTAGAAACCAAAAAGAGCTAACTCACCACCCAAAGAGCCAACACACAACCAGCAGGATTTAACTCTTGAGTGCAGAACTAACAAATATTAAAGCTAGCACTGGCTAATGGCTAAAAGCTCAGGTGTTGGAATTACCTCAGATCCAGATGTTTTGGTTGGATATTCTCGGGCAAGTTACTTGAAGCCTTGGGGCCTTCATCTAAACAACAGGACTGACAACCTCACAGGGTTGTCTGTGTGAATAAAATGACATAACCCATGGCAAGTGTCTAGCACATGTAAATGCGCAATAAATGTTACTGTGAGTTACTATCACAATGATGATGATGCTACAAATAATATCAAGACAGTCAAAACTTGATTCTCATAGGATAGATATATATTATTAATTTAAATGACGAGTGAAGAAGATACCAGGTACTTTGTTGATAGCTAAAAACTATACATTAATTGCTTAAGACATAATTTTATGGTATAAGCTTAGTAAATCTAGGATTTATTCACTGAACTCCTATGTGAATTGTGGAAAATACAGAGACGAGAGAAAATGACCTTTAACCTCAGGGAATTTATGTGATAAACACAGATAACAAATCACAATTACCATAACTGTGGCACCATAAAGAGAGGTATAAAAACACTATGGAACATTCCCTTAGAGATTTGTGGAAAGCTTCCTAAAAACACTTAAGAACCTTCTCTTTGAAAGCTGCCCTGGGCTTCCTCTTATCAAATCACCAATCAGGAATTAACATCCTCCAAGTCTCTTAAATCAACAACCAGGAGTTAATACTCAAGTCTCTTTCAGTTAGGCCACACACCTAACTGTGACCTCACCAATGTTATTAAAATACAGAAGTTCACTTCACATCTATGTCAATGTCCTTTGATAAAGCCGGCAACCTTTACAATGAAATAGGGACTTGAAAAACTTTTCAAATGGCTTGACTTTCTTTCTCTGTAAAGAGTTACTGCTTTTAGAATACTGGTTCTAAGAAGGGTGAACTTGTGTCCAGTTAAATTATACTTATTCCTCCTCATGAGGCAGTGATAGGAGAAAGTTATCTCAGACTCGCGGTGAACTAACCAATATGAATATATAGGAGGAGAAAGATCCATTCACACATAGGAACTATCTAATTGATAGAATTTATAAATAGATCAAAGAGGCAAGCCACACTGTAATAGAACTGAATGTGCTCCACGTGCTCAGGGGATTTGGGTTCAGAGTCTCAAAAGAAATTTGTAACAAGTCAATGACAATGAACAGTTCAAATAATAAGACTACGAGTCATCTAAAAGTGACCGTGTACATAATGATGGTGTTAATCTAGTTGATGGGGATCACTTTTGGAATGATTCTGTTAAAGACTGGTCAATATTCCCTCTCCAGTAATGATACACCATCTAGTATCTAGTTTATGGTTTCATCATTTCATTTGGTTTAAATAAAGACATGTACTTAAACCACTTTTAAACCACAGGCAACCTGGATTTCGCATAGTAAGTTAGGTGATTCTACAGCTATCATAATATTATAATTATTTTTCTTGCAATATGCACTATTGGATTTAGCACTTTTAGATCTTCTAACATGAACTGCATGTAGAATTTCTAATAGAAATGGTGAGACATTGCACTTTTCACTGTCAGCACAATACAAGGGGAACTCTTTTTAAAATCTTCTGCATTAAGCCTACAAAATGCTTCATCACGGAGACCTACATCTCTCAAATATTCCTGGAAGAAATCCAATTGAACGAAATTAATGTAGCTACTTCAAGAAAGGCAGTAATAAACAAAGATGATTTTACAGAAATGGAGAGAAGACAGCAGGAAGTTGAACAATACTCAAGTAATTTCATGATTTTTAGTGTTTTGTACACAATGAAAAGTAAGTAGATATTCTTTAATGGCAATGGCTTTTGTTAAGCATTTTCCAGTTTTCAAAGAGCTTTTATATACATCATCTTATCTGGTCCCCCCAATAACTCACAAACGTGAGCAAGGAACAGACTATTATCCCCACTTCATAGATAAAGAAGCAGAGACCAGAAGAGATTAGGTGACTTGTCAAATAACTAGATGACAGCACCATGCCTTCTGACTCCTAGTCCAGCCTGGAGTTATTAGGTATTAACTAACAGTAGTGTGATTATTCCACCTTAGGATTTTTCTAAGCTCACTGGTACCCCTCAGTTTTCAGTTAAAATTCCTAAAACACTACTTTCCAGCCTTATCTTCAAAAAGGAAAAAATATTTCACCTATATAAAAAGCTGCTGACTGCAATGACTTGACATCATCACACCATCTCCATCTGATCTACCACCATGTGTTCTAACTTGAGGCCAGAAACAACAGTTAGCTGCTGAGCAGACTGGTTTCATCAGCCAAGATCGAATCCTCTCAGTATATCACACTAATCACTGAATGACCTCCATCAAATTGGTGGATTTATGAGAAATGGGTGAATATTTTTCATTGCCTTTTCTTGTACCTGACAGCAATCAATGACAAATCCAAAAGGTACCTAGCACAGTAATACTTGATAGCAAAGAAAACTGTCACTGGGTGGGAAAAAAGCAGGTACTGGGTAAATCACCTCAAAAACTATCAGTCATTCATTTTATTCAGCTAATATTTACTATCAGGCACGGTGCTCTGGAAGGGTTGAGGTAAACTAACAGCTGACTGAGCGGTCACTCTGTGCGGGACACTACGGTAGGTGCTTTATGAGAATGAGCTCATTTAACAAATCCGTGAGGTAAGTACTATTATATCTTCATTTTACAGCTGAAGAAACTGAAACCTGAAGTAACATGCTACAAAAACTCAGCAGGTAAATGTCTGTTCAGTGCATTTAATCCAAGTCAGAGGCTGTGTTCTAAACCAGGGTTCTACAGACTAGAACTCATGAGTCAGATCCTGCCTGCTCTCTGTTTTTATATAGCCCTAAGAGTGGTTTCGGGTTTTTGAGTGGTTTGGGGGGTGGGGGGTCCAAAGCAGAGTATTTCATGACATACAGAAATTATGTGAAACCCAAGCTTCAGGGTCCGTAATTGGAACGCAGTCGCAGTTGCCGACTGACATACTGGCTACGGCTGGTGTCACGTTACAATGGCAGCGCTGAGCAGCTGAGCTGAGAGCTGAGTAGTCGAGACAGAAACCATACACAGCCAGCGAAGTCTAAAGTATTTCCTATCTGGCCCTTTACAGAAAAATGTGCTCACTCTTGCCATAAGCCATTCCACTTGATGCTTTTTTTATCATCTCTATTTGGATGTCTTAACAAATATCCCAAACTTAAAGTATTTAAAGTCAAATTCCTGATTTTTCTGCACTACCCACAAAAAGATCCATATCTGCATAGTCTTCCTCTATGGAAAAGCCATCCTTCTAGGTATAAAAGCCATAGATCGAGAGTATCCTTGAGTTCTTTCTTTCACTCATGTTCAAAACCATCAACAAGCCTGATCAGCTCTGCCTTTGAAACATGCAACCCCATGCTTCATCCCCTCCATGGCTAGCAGCCGGGCCCAAGCCATCACTATTCCTTTTCTGAATTACCGCCATTACCTCTTCTTAGGTCTGTCTTGCTTCAGTTCTTGCCTAAGACAAAAGCCAACATGCTCTTCCACTCACAAACCCTCTAGCCTTTCCAACATGAAACACACAGCCCTGCTTCAGGGCTCTGGTGCTGGTTGACTTCCCATTACTGCAGACCTCTTACCAAAAGCCACCTATTAGGCCCTCCCTCTCTACCAGATCCCACACCCTATACTCCAAGGCCCTGGGACTCCTTTTTCTCTGCTTCATTGTTCATCCATAGAATTGCAAACTGCCATCCACTATATACACTTCAGCTCCCTGAGGACAAAAGTTTAGTTAATTTTCTTCATTAGCATTTCTCTGGCACTAGCCTGGGGCCTGACATGTATTAGGTGATTAAGCAGACATCTGTTCGATGAATGAAGAAATGATCCCTGTATGCAAGAAGCATGCACACTAGTGACGTACAGACACGGGTGAGCATATTTAATGTGTAAATAACTGTACTGAATGGGACTTAATACTGTATTTCTTATTGAATCTACTTTCTTATTAAACATCTTACTCTAAACCAAATTTTAGAGCTTTCCATCAAAGGGAAGAAAGATCTAGCTTTGTATGGCCCATGTGTGAAATGATTCTAGACAAATCTACTTTACTGAACAGGGGCACTGATGAGGTGGCTCAAATTCCCATTCTGAAACCCACAGTCTCCTGTTTTAGCTTTAATTCCTGCCTTTGCATCTCTGTCAAACTCTAGGGCCTGCCCAGAGGTACTGCCTCAACTCCTCTGAACTCTTCTTCCTAAGTCCTACTGTTCAACCTCTGCCCATTTCTTAGCCACAAATGCAGTGAAAGTGAGATTACACAAAGACAATATATCCATTAAAACACTTCCATTTCTACGAACCCACTCAAGTTTCGTCAATGTTAGGGAGAGTCAAGAGTAGCACTCTACTGTTTGACCTGGAGGCAGTGCAGCTTCTAAACATTTACGGACAAAATACCCGCGGGGGGGCGGGGGTAGGTAGCTGCAGAGTGATAAATGCCTCATTGAACCAATAACGCGACCATACCCCAAAACAGCCAAAGAAGAAATAACATTCCCTGTGAGAATGATCTACCTGCTTGGCTTCTTCACTTCCTTTTAACTAGGAAAAGCAGCTACAGTTCTAATTATTGGTGCTTAAATAAATATATGGGAAAGTTGCAGATGTGGTTCTAGAAGAGAATCAACGACAAGAAATAGTCATACCCTCTCCTCCAGTCTAGCCAGCTGCTCTTTGTAGAATGCATCCTGCTTCTTTATCACTCGATCTTTCTCTTCCAGCTGCTTAGCCTAAAAAAAGAAATGAAGAATAGACTATATCAAGAAAAAGCAGCAACAGTGAAGCAAAAGTCAAGTATAAATTACATTAGAAATAAGTACATAGAGCTGAAGATTTTTGCAATCTATTAGGTCTCTGCCATAGAACAATATTAATAAGATGATGATTGCTGTATTTAAATGTAAAGGAGTCTACATTTTTTTTTTTTTTACTCTGACAGCTGTGTCCTACTTTGTCAAAAAGTATCAGAATACAGCAGTTTTATTTAACTCCTATGGAAGAGTAATTTCAAGGATTAATATTTTGTACAATAAAACTTAGATTTTATTCCAAGCATAAACCACGTGGTTATTAACCTTTTTTCTGAACAACAAAATACCTATATGACATTTTCTACATAAATCTTATGTTTGAGAGTCCTTAAATTACCCACTGAAACCTGCACCTAAGTACATGTATTGGTCTATTTTCTTTTTTATGAAGCAGTTGTCTTTGGAGCAAGGGGCAAAAACCACTGTAAATGTTTATTTGAATAATTAAAAATTAATAGTAAGAAATAAAAATAGTTAAAGTAATTATAAAACTCAGTCATCCCATTTCTAATTTATAAGATTTTTTCAAAATTAAAAAAAGGTAATAAAAATTTTTTGATACTTGAAAAATAATGATAAAGATGGTTACTTATGGATGTTTTTCAAGGTTAATAAAAAAATGCATTTTTCAAACTGTTGTTTGTATCTTGATCATTACATTTAAGTGATCTTTATCTCTGAGAACAGACCTCCCTGTCTCACACCCCAAGTTAGAAAAGTTTTTAATATATTTTTGTTCAGTAAATGCGGAATACACACTTGACAAGGAATTTTAAGATATCAGCAAGTATGCATTTTGGCATTCCCACCCTTATGCCGCATACCACATTTTTTTGCAGGGTGATCAAGGGTCACTTGCCTCAACCTTGTGTGAGGGTGATTTCCACTATCTGCTTAGTTTACGTGTACCCATTTTACACATATATAGGTCATTGCTTTGCTACTTACTTTGTCTTCAATGTCCTGCAGCATGTTAAAAACAAACAACAATTATTTAACAATAGAAGTAGTATTTTTTCCTAATGTCACAAAGAAATCTGATAGATAATATCTAAGATGCAAACCAAAGAAGGCAATAGGGGGAAAAAAGATCAGAGAACTTGCTTAACTTAGGACACAGTTAAATGTCAGTGTGCTGCTACAGTTTGAATAGAAGATTTCAGTGAAAAGTTCATGATGCTTGAAAGCGTATGAATAAATTTAAAAAGATACAATAATAAGATTACATTAAAATATATTCATATGCAAGTACATAATAATCAATGGCTCCTTGGTACAACATAGTAAAAACCTGACTAGCCTGTCAGGAATATAAAAGAAAAAGTAAACAGAGAAAGAATTTTTAACAAAGCTAAGTGTGAAGAAAGTATGCATGACAATATGATCTACAGAGAAAAGGTATTTCTAAATTCAACACATACACACCCAAAATAGAAATAAAGGAAATGTAAAAGAACGGTTTTATGAGACCCTCTGTTAAAAAAAAAATCATTAAACCAAACAAATAAGCAAATGACAAAAAGAGGAAAAGAAACCACAACATGTAACTATGAGAGTTAAAGTTACTAAAATACAGAACACTAAAAAAAAAAAAAAAAGCCCTCTACCCCTCCACCAAAAAAGCCAAAAGAAAAATACACAAATGACATACACTGGTAATTCACACACAAAAATACAAATAATAAACACATGGGAAAAAACCCAACCCTAAGAGAAATCAAAGAATGATAATTAAAATAATGAAATACCATTATTCATCTACTGAACTGACAACAATATAAAATAGTAATAGTAATGTCAGATACAGGAAAATAAGCTCTTCTATACATGACTGGTCAGAATGTAATTTGATATAACCACTTTTTAAATCAATTTGACACAATGTAATGTTTTTAAAATGTACATATTCACTGAGATCTAAACTCTATTTTTAGGACTTTTCTTTTTTTTTTTTTTTTAACTGTAGATTTTTTTTTTTAATGTTTTATTTATTTATTCATGAGAGTCAGAGAGAGAGAGAGAGAGGCAGAGGCAGAGGAAGAAGCAGGCTCCCCGCCCAGCAGGGAGCCCGATGTGGGACTGGATCCCAGGACTCTGGGATCATGACCTGACTTTTCTTAAGTAATTATGACAATATACAAAGATGTTCAAGATAAAGTTGTTTAGAATTGCAAAGATGCAAAAATAAAAATCAATTTAATGGCTAAATAAAAATATCTTCAAAATATACTAAGTAAAAACAGAACAGATTATAAACAAAAAGGACAGTATAATCTCTTTTCTTTGTAGGGAAAGAAAAAAACCAGAAGGATACTCAACAAAATGTCAACAAAAGTTATAGCAGAATGGTAGGTTTATGGGTGATTTCTAGTTATTCTTGCTTCTTTATATTTTCCAAATTAAAAAAAAAATCACATACTTTGTAGTCAAAGGACACAGGAGGGAATTTTCTGAGGTGGGAGAACTAGTCTGCTTGTTGATAATGGTGGTGGTTACACAATTGTATGCATTTGTCAAAACTCATAAAACTACATACCACAGAATAAATTTAACTATATAAATATCTTAAAGTGTATACAAATTAAATACACTAAAATTCATGAAAATAACTACATATAAATATATGGATGGACATGTGCATATATCTTTGCTATTGTTAATCTGCTTATCACTTGGCCAATTTTATTCTAGGCATTTAATCCTAGGAAATATTAAGAAAAGCACACAAGGATTTAGATCTAAGAAAATAAAACCAATGTTACTTAAAGCAACAAACAAATGGGAACAATAGAAGGTTGTATAAATAAGATTTGGTCCAACAGGATACTGATTATAATTTTAGTCCAGACACAATGACCAAATATTCAGAGCCATTAAAAAAATAATGGCTTGGAAAAAAGTATCTATTATGCCAAGATATTAACAGTGGACAGGATATGCATAGTGGGATATTTTTTATTTGGACTGTTCTTTACTTTATAAATTTTCTAGAATGAACAATTACTACTTCTGTAATCAGAAAAAATATTTCTTAAACATTAATATCACATACATGTATCCCTGACTACGAGATGGAAACATAATATGAGACAGAAGCTCAGAGTGAGGTATTTAGTAATTATATTAACAACCAAATTGTTTTGTTTTTTTTTAAAGATTTTATTTATTTATTTGAGAGAGAGAATGAGATAGAGAGAGCATGAGAGTGGGGAGGATCAGGGGGAGAAGCAGACTCCCCGCTGAGCAGGGAGCCCGATGTGGGACTCGATCCCAGGACTCCAGGATCATGACCTGAGCCGAAGGCAGTCGCTTAACCAACTGAGCCACCCAGGCGCCCATAACAACCAAATTGTTTTAACAACTTGAACAATTATTTATAGCCTGGAAATTCTCTTACCTACAAAATCCTTAATGTACCAGCACTTGATTCTCTCTCCCATTCAATGTATGACATTACCCACCATGGTTCTTAAAACACTTGCACTAAATGTTTCTTTCGTTCACAGATAGTGCACAGTGAGACATTTTTTTAAAATGCAAAGAAAAAGTAATAGGTATTCTATTATGGTCATTTAGAAAACACTCAAGAATTCAATACTACAAATATATTGCTTAAGTCTACTGAGGACTACATGCACCAAAAAAATTGATTTTGAGGAGCAATGTAAATAAAGGATATATAGTAATGTCCTCATTCACTTTTCTAAGATGTAATCTTTGAAAAAATTTAAAGCAACATGTGAAAAGGTCAGATATACACACTAAAAAGGAACTACCTCCAAAGACCCGAAACCACCAAGCTATGGTCTAACATCACAAATCTTTCCCTAGACAGCCAACAGAATCAATAGTTTGAGATCCACTGGGGAGAATAACAAAGCAAGAAACACAGCCACAGCACTTTAACGGCACATTGCTTTGAAACAGTTAATGTGATGCTGGGAGGGAAAGTCACACAATATGAATCCTGAAACTTAAATAAGCCTGGAATACATTGACTAAGCTAATAGCTGCCAAGGATGGAGAGTCACACTCAACTTACGAAAAAGCAGTAAACCAAGTGCAAGGAAATAAAACTTCTACGTATAACTCTCTAACAGAGAGAGAATCATTTTAAATGAACAAAAACAAAGAGGATTACAACATTACTTATTGTTATAGAACCATTCCTTAGGGAAAAAAAAGAATATAAAAAAATTTCCCCTCATTTCTTGTTTACTATTACTCTCACTACAAGAAATGTGCACTGATTAGTTTTCAGATCCTGTTAGATTCGGGATAACATGATTGGGCTGAAAACATGACAGAACTTAAGTGGATCATTATGGAAAACTAGAGCACCCCATATGCAAGAGACACAAAGAAAATAAGGAAATCAAGTTTTCTTTAAGAAACCCAACACATAAATATTTCAGTGTTTTAACTCCGTGTTGGTAGCTAGATTCAAAATGAAGTTCCCATATGTTAACTTCTTTAAGACTTGCTTCTTTTCAGAAAGGATCTGAAGGTGCTTATGACAAAGAATATAATAAGGTCAACAGAAGTAAAAACTGGGATTATGGATATGACATACTGTGCTGGTGGGAACTTTACCTTCCCACGTATATTCCTAGGTAACTCTTCATAGCGAAAGGTTTTTGGCATAGTAGCTCAGCCTTCTCAGCCCTGGTTGCTCCTGAGGACTACGGTGTGGCACAGGGTACATGGCCTGGAGAACCTGGTGACATCACAATCACCTAGCTCAGAGGTTGTATTGTTACCTTGGACATCAAGTACAAGGCATGTTAAAGAAAGATTCTGGGCTAAAGCTCGTACACTTGATTTTATTTTATTTTTATTTTTTAAAGGTTTTTATTTATTTATTTGAGAGCGAGAATGAAAGAGAGAGAGAGAGAGCACATGAGAGGGAAGAGGACCAGAGGGAGAAGCAGATTCCCCGCTGAGCAGGGAGCCCGATGCAGGACTCATCCTGGGACTCCAGGATCATGACCTGAGCTGAAGGCAGTTGCTTAACCAACTGAGCCACCCAGGGGCCCTAAGCTTGTACATTTTAAATGACAAAGTTCCTTGAAATGCCAGTGCTCAATTTTAATAGCTCAAGGGAGAAAACAAAGCAGGTACCTGCTCAATTTTCCATTGGAGGATACTATGAAGCCAGAGATTACTAGGGTTGAGAAAAGGCAACAACTGTAAATCAACCTAAATAGGAAATCCCTATAATGATATTTCCTATCATTCTAAATCTTATAACAAATCTGAAACACACACATAATGGATGGAGAAAGATTTAATCTTTCACAATGATATGGATAATCTGTGGCAAAGATCAATCTCTATCTTATAACTCACATAAGCAAATAAGAGCAGGGAAAAGAGCTTTATTCCTCGTCAGAACTACAAAGAACACAAAATATATAGGAACCTAATAAAAGTATATGCTAACATAAAACAAAGAGAGAACTGAATGATCCAATGGGGCTGAACCATAAACTTGTAAGGTAATAATACATTTAGAAGCTGTAGAACATGGTCACTGTTCACTGGGGATACCAATTAGCCATAACAAAATAATTAAAGTAGCCATGCATTCAATTAGCTGAATACTACACTTCCGTTATAAATGAGAAATTACATAGGGTTCACTGAGCCTTTATCAAGTGGCATTGGTAAACAAAGAATCATACTCAAAAGCACGGTTTTCCGAGCCACATTATAAGGTGACATTCAAAAGGGTAACTCATCTAGGTGAACTTAAATGATGCCCAACCTATTATCAACCTTAGCACACTGTTCAATGACTACTTAGAGGCATAAGCTATGAGCAAAGCCCAGCTTGAAATGTTAAACTACACTTATGTGCACAAACACAGTGAGGGCTGGCTTAAGTTGAATATAGACTGAGACTTAGCAATAGACTTCCTAAATCTGGAACTCCTATCCAAGCCTCCAGGGCTTGATCAGTC